ACAACACTGCTTTCTTCGGAGAACTTCTTCTCCGGTCACTGCTTGTTTCAAATGCTGCAGAGATCTTTCTCAGCGACGACAATCGAAGCGAGTCCACCGAGTGTTTTTCTCTTTTTTTCCGTCGTCCTTAATACCCTCAAAATGGGTGAGCCATCACTACCATCAGCAGCCACCGCCAGTCACTTGCTGCTGTTGCCTAGTCAGTCGGCAAACGCTCCTGTTCCTGTAGCGCACCGCCACTCAAGTAATTGAGGAGACCTTGCCTTGACACTTGTCTCGCTTGCTGAGTTTGCATTTATGAGCTTTCTTTCTATCATGGCTTGTCCTGTCTTGTCCGTCTTTATTCCCAGCCGCAACAACGGCAAAAAGCAGTGAGAATATTTCTTTCATTTGTTCTCTCAAAGGAACACACTACCTGTGTGCTCTGCGCTACCGGGTCAGACTCGGAGATGAAGTTGTAGTCGTATGCAGTTGATGATGAATAAAAAGTAATAGCACTCTAACGGTCAGATTGTTCACGGTACAGTAGTGCATTATTACTTGGTCAATGTGTGTACAGCAGGCAAAAAGTGTCGGTTCTTTTTTATCGAGATGCACTCTTGCTCTTTGTTTTTGCTTACGACCAGTGCAGCTGCTGTTGTTGGTGGTGGACGGAGGTGAACTCATTAAAGCGATAGACCATTCCAACTGGCACTCGCTAATTTCATTTACACCTAACCATGGCCTAGTGTCTGCAGATAGAGTAGCTGCAGTGGTGTTCATCATCACTGCCACCACATCCATCAACAGCATGTGATGAATCTTCATTACGCGTTCGGAGTGCTCCTTCCGAGCATCAGCTGCAACAGCAGCAACAGCAGCAGCCGGCTCAACACCTTCACACTGACACAGAGAGACTGCCGCAAACTGGCAGTGAGCAGACACCATCTTTGCCATCATCTGTTAATGACCGGACACAGACCGGTAATGAGCTTTTAATAATTCTCACTTTGCTCTCTTCTTGGAGATAGTAGTGAGGCAACAGCAACAGCATCATCATTATCGGTGACCATCTCTAGCAGGCAATGGTTTTCGGCGTCGACCAGCACCACTAGTGCACACTGACACTGACACTGCTGACTTAGCAGGAACACCTTTGGCACGATCAACCGGCAACCCGTCTATCTGTGTCCTTAGCGTTAGTTTGTTGCCATTGTTGGCAGCTGAATTATTACTATGATTCATAGAGTGCTCCGTCTGGCCAACAATTCTGGCCGAGTCATAATAGTTACCGTCCGACTGGTTGGCTGGTCATTACCGACCACTGCTGACACTGCTGGCAGTGCACCTTCTCAGACTGATTCGTCACTTGTGCGCCTGTCTCTCGCTTATGCACCGTGAATGTGTTCAAATTAGACGGTCACTACACTCTCTCTAACTATCCTTATGACCACTGTACCTCGTTATCTACCTACCTCCTCCACTACCATCTAATTGACTATTGCAATCTCCTACCACCACTGTTTTGGCCACTGTCATCTGTGCTCGATGCTCCAGCTTTTGTTGCATAGCCTCCCATTCCCTCCTCCATCGTGCTTCGTTGATTTCCGCTTGCCTTTTGCTGCTTGATCAGTTTCTTCGCTGCGTGATTGTCCTAATGAAGAGATATCCTCACGCTGACTGTGTCTTTGTGACTGTGTGTGTGTCTGGTGTCCAAGTGTTTTTTAAGATAACTTTGGCTCTTCACTTTTTTTACTTGATTGTTCATACCTCTTTGATCAGACACTGCAGTCCACTTTTACTCTGTCCCTGTTTAGATGCCGTCAATATTACGTACGTGTGGTGGTGCACCCAATTGTCTTCTTTAAAAACTGTCTAGTGTAGTCTTTTCTCTGTCTTCATTCTCTAATTATAATGGCGCCCACTAATTGCCATTTTTCAGAGATAACAGCAGTGCCGTTTGTTGCTATTTGTTCTTCTTGCCGCGCACGCAACACGCAACACACACTCTGTTTTGCTTTTGCTAAATTTAAAAGCTAATTTCCTTTATGCCTTTTCTTCCTTTTTTGAACAGAATTCGCTCCCATTTCGTCGTCACCGTTTCACTGGAAACTCTCAGTTTGTTGATGATCACCGCCAGCAACAGCAACTACAACAACAAAAGCCGACCAATTGTGTAGAGCTGCTCAGAGAGAAAGCGTTCTCTCTTCACTCCAAATGCGAGCACCTTCAATGGCCACCTTGACTGAATACAATGTCTGTTGATGATATCAGCAACAACAGCAGAGTAAACAAGAACGATGAAACGCAAAGATAAAGATAAAAGGACAGCAGCGTGGCGGAGTGGTGGCCAGAGGACGACAACACGTGAAGATGGACTTCGCCATCACCATCAGCCGTCATCTTCAGCCGATGATGATGACGGCGTCAAATGTCGTCGGAGCCGCCAAAGGCATCAGTGGTCAGTGCTCTACAGGCCGTACACTGCTCTGCTTCTGATGGCCCTGACCAACTGCTTACTTTTAGTTGGCGCAGGTGAGTAGTCTCACGCCTCAATCTTTCCTCCCCTTTTCAGGATGGGCTGGTAATGGCTCACCGAGGTTGACTCTGATGAACACTGATGCACTTCTGTGTCTGTGTTTGTGTGTCGGTGTGTCAGCCTTTGATTGACAGGTCAGCTATTTTCTGAGCCAGTGAGCAGTCGTCGCCCGATCTTGAGCTCTTTCTTCTTCAGTTGCTCCTTTCTCCTGCTGTTAATTGATTATCGCTTGTATTACACTCGTAAATATTTGTCTGGTGAAGTTGGTGTTGGTGGTTGTGCCTGTTTTTCTTTGCTTGTTCAATTAAGTCAGTTTTTCTGTTGCTAATTTCATTCTCTTCTTCTTTCTCTGCTCACCTCTACCGACTGATGAGTGAGAAAGTCGGCCAGGCGACGCCAAGAGGAGAAGTAAAAGAAGGTGCCCACTAGTACCACCAGCACTGGCAGAACGATTATGAATCGACGGATTATTGAAGTTAGTCTGTGTAGGCTGACTACAGCTCAACATGACAACAAATTGACAAACTTCTTTTTGCCACCACACACACTCAGTTTTGCTCAGGTGTAATTTGCACACTGTAAATTTGCACAATGGTCGCCGAAGAGAAGGGATAGCCGAGGGCAGCGGCGACGTCCAATGAGGCGAGCATACCTTCTACTGTGCATATATGCCAACTTGAGCAAAAAAGAATACACACACTCACACTTCCAGGCACGGACTGCTGTCTTTGTTCGAGACTTTGTCAGTCACAGCCAGACGCGGTTGGAGTTAGATTAAAAAGAAAGAAAATAGAGTTTTCTTCAGCAGATTTCAAAAGTAGTCAAATGCAGCAGCAGAAGCCTCCAGTGAAGCTTGCCATTTTTTCAATTTTCCTTGCGGTGAACTCTCTCGTTCTGCATAGCTCACTTCAGTGGTGTGTGTGTCTGTTTGTACTCAATATTTTCACAAGATTTGTCTGTACAGATTTTTCTTTTTCATCTTTTTTCAATTGAGCAATCCCTTTCTCACCTCTCAGCAAACTCCCAGAATGAAACTATGGAACTGAATGCACTAGCTCGAAAGTCAATTCAGACTCGAGGTGAAAGTGTGACTGAGACCAATGGGAACGATAGTGTCGGTGGTGGTGTTTGTGTTTGTGCCTGTGTGTATTCTATTTGTACTGTTTGTTCGGTTTGCCTGACCACACAATGACAACTGTGCAAAAGTGATGTCACAGCACAGAAAAATAGATTACACACCAGCCAGGTAATTAGAGCTGTAATTATAGTTTATCGACAGTCAGTCAGTGTACGGCTGATGTTGCTGCTGCCGCTAGTAAATTGTCTCGAATCTCATTCTCTCTGAAACGTCTTCACGACTAAGGCGAAATGCAAATAGATTGTAAGTGCTCTTGTGGTCATTATCACCACAAAAGGGATTGCCTGTTGTGATGAGTGGTGGTGGCTGCAGATTGAGACTTGCAAAGGCCAGCTGACTGACTCAGCAGCAGCAGCGACAACTAAATCAAGGATGATCCACTACAAAAGAGCGCGGATCACTTGTCTGCACTTAATTAGCCTAAACGGCGCCATCATCCACTTGGAAGCCAAGTGCGACGCACTGTGGTCATTGTGTGTCCAGATAGGCAGGCAGGCGGGAAGGCAGTCAACTGGACTGGACAGGCACTTCAAAAGTGCTGCACAAGGACAAAGTTACGCCAAAGTGGCGCCTGTGTCTATCATCAGAAGCAGCAGCAGCTCAATTGCCTCCTCGTTTTCTCCCTCGTTTTCGCCTTGCTTATCTTGGTAATCGCAGCACAACACACAGTCAAATGACCACAATGTACATTAGCATTAGCATCACACACACAAAGCGAGACTCTGCTCTATGACCAACGGGCTCATCAGTTTGTTTTTGAAACTGATGAACTATATGCCCGTTTTGCACCGGCACTCCTACAGTTAGATGTGCTCCTGTCAACAGAAGGTGGACTGCCACCTGAGAGAGAGGCAAAGGTTGATCAGGCAGCAGTGGTGGTCAATGGTCATCCTCTGTGATGCCTCGAGACAACGACAGCATCCACTTTCCTCTCATAATGGCTCCTTCCGATGATCAGCATCAAATGTGACTGCGGTTGTTTGTTTGTTTGCGGCACCCGAGCACACTAGTCAGACAGAGGCAGCGGTCGAGGAGCTTTGATTGAAATGCTAATCACAGAGAGCACATGCAGCCCTTCACTATGGCAGATGACAGCTCACCTCCTGCCCCCTCTCTTCTTTGCCGTTCTTCTCTACGGGTGCAATCGGTGGTGTGTGCCTTCGACAAAAAAGATTGCCTCGCTCGCCAGCTTATACCTGCCAATTTGCCCATTCGTCATCGGTTCATCGGTGATGAACCTGCCATCACGTTTTATTCTCTTCTTTTCTTCCGTTTACATTTCTTCATTTTCACTCATTGTTATTTTACTCACCTTTTTCCTTCTTTTATTTGTCCCTCCTTTAGTGGTCAACCCTCCGCGTGACCTCTCCGTGAAGGTGCTCTCCGGAAAGACGGTCAACGTCGACTGGGACCCGCCGCTGGACGGCCGTTTTGACAGCTTCAAGATCACCATCGAGCCGCTCAGTGTCCAGGATGACTCGGGCATTCGCACGGTGATGATCGGCATTCAGGACTCGACGCCGGTGCCCATTCGTGATCTCACGCCAGGCGCCTCCTATGAGGTGCGCCTGCACACCGTCTACCGCCACGAGGACTCGAAGGTCTACCTGCGGACCAACTTCACCACAGTGCCCAGCGTGCCCTCTACGCCGACCATCTGGTACCGCAATGAGACGACGCTGCTGGTGAAGATTGCCAGTCCGCCGGCGGAGTCCATCTTTGACCACTACAAAGTGACCATCTTTCCTGACGACGCCGATGAGCCGGTGCAAAGTATTGAGCGGCCTGAGCAGGGCAAGGCCCAGGCTGCTTTCCACGGCCTCAGTCCGGGCAAGCCGTACAACATCAGCGTACAGTCGGTCAGTCTGGACAAGATCAGCGAGCCGGCCAGTGCCGTCTTCCTCACTGTGCCTTTTGCGCCCTCACTCGGCGGTGATCCTTATGGCTCTAAACCTACTGATCAGATGGCATCCGGCTCTTCAAACTACGGCTATGGTCACATGTCAGCCGCATCCTCATCCGCCTCCTCCACCTCAATGTTCGCCTCAATGCACAGTGCGCCCATCTTTACCAACGGCGGCCCACCGTCAGATCTCACTTCACAAGACGGACGAGACGCCGAGATTCAGTGCGAAGCGAGCGGTTCCCCCTACCCCAGCGTCGAGTGGTACTTCTCCTCCAGCTCAGGAGGCCATCAACAACAACGGAAACTTGACCTGAACAGCTCTCCAAAGTACGGCGTCAATGCCCATGGAGCGCTGAGCATTACCCAGCTGGAGAAGGCCGATGAGGGCGCCTACACGTGCATTCGATCGAATGCCCTGGGCAAAATTGACGGCACCACAAAGCTCAGTGTGATCATCCGCACGCAGATCGACCAGCCACCGGTGGACAGCAAGGTGATTCTCAGCTCGACGGCGGAGCTGCAGTGCCGCGTCCGCCACGACGCCTCCGTCGCCGTCAAGATCTACTGGACCTTCAACAAGCGCAATCTGACCTCGAGTTCGAGGATTAAGGTCGCCTCTGATGGGACACTGCGCATTGAACAGGTAAGAGTTTTTGAAAAAGTAAAATTTTGTTTTTGGTTTCTAATCATCCTTTTCCATCTCTTTTTTAGGTTCGCAACACCGACGTCGGCCTGTACACGTGTCGAGTCGACTCGATCGGCGGCAGTGAGAAGCGTTCCGCCCGACTGGATGTCATTGAGCTGCCCCACCCGCCCACCAATGTCATGGCGGAGCTGAACGTCAACGGCGGTTTGGTGAACGTCAGCTGGACACCGCCCTTTGACGGCAATTCGCCCATAATCAAGTACGTCGTGCAGATGCGAACTGTCAGCAGTGGAGGCCCTCTCTCGTCTTCCTCATCATCATCATCTTCCTCATCGTCCTCCTCATCGGAGAACTCAAAGGCTGAAGGGGCTGGTGGTGGTCCTGGTTCAGGCGGCAGTCCCTCCACAGATGACGAGCTCGTTTATGGTGTGAACACGTGGACGACCGCTTCGATGAACATCTCCGCCTCGCAGAACTTTGTGCTCATCACCAACCTCCGTCCGGCGACGACCTATCAGTTTCGCGTCTCCGCGGTGAACAGCGTCGGCGAGGGTCAGCCCAGTTCACCCAGTCACCCGCCCATCACACTGCCCGCCCAGCCACCAAATGCCAGTCCGGTGGGAGTGGTGGGTGCTCCTCGTTCGAGCACAGCCATCACCATTCAGTGGCAGCAACCGCCACTTGAGTCACACAACGGTCAGCTGATGGGCTACATGGTGCGCTACAAACTGGCCGGATACGCCGAGCACACGCCCTGGTACACGCACAATGTTACCAATCCGGCGCAGATGTCCTGCCTTTTGGAGGACCTGATCGTCTGGCAGAACTACCAGATTCAGGTGGCCGCCTACAATGAAATGGGCGTCGGTGTCTACAGTTCGAGCATCTACGTGAGGACAAAAGAAGGCAAACCAGCAGCACCGGTGCGCGCCCTCGAGGCGGAAGCGGTCAACTCGACGGCGATTCGCGTCACCTGGATGCCACCTGACCCGCAACTGATCAACGGCATCAACCAGGGCTACAAAGTGCAGGCGTGGCTATCGAGGAACACCACCTCGGTAGTGTCTTCAGATGACGCTGAACACTCTGCCAACAGTGTGTACCGACTTGAGCACTCGCATCCATCTCGAGAGATCATTGTCCCGCCGGCACCCTTCCAGGACGGTCTGCAAACGGCAATCATCGACGGTCTAGAGCCATACACCGTCTACGATGTGACCGCTCGCTGCTTCACAAGTGCTGGCGATGGCCCAAAGGCCGATCCGCCACAAGTGGTCACTACCAAACAGGACCTCCCGCTGGAGGTTTCCTTCCTCAAGTTTCGCGACATTCTCGACAAGAGCGTTCGCGTGCTGTGGGGCAAGCCAAAGAAGGTCAACGGTAAGCTGCTCGCCTACACACTGCGCTACAACACCGTTGGCGCCGATGCCTCCTCCACGACGGTGCTCAATCTGACGGCCACTGACAATCAGACGGTGATCAGCACGCTGAAGCCGCAGACCGCCTACACCTTTGAGATTTACGCGTGGACGGACGTTGGCGCTGGGCCGATCGTCTCCTCGACGATTCAGTCTTCAGTGCCGCCGGTGCTGCCCGTGGCGCCCACCCACCTGGCCATCTCTAACATTGGCCCCTTTAGTGTGGTGCTGCAGTTTACGCCCGGCTTCAACGGCAACGCCTCCATCACCCGGTGGATCGTCGAGGGACAGCTGTTTAAGCTGCGCAACTCCAACCACTGGAACGTCGTCTACGAGTCGACGAACCACAGTCAGGATGACGCCATCACAGTGCACGCCCTCCGTCCCTACACCGAGTACCGTCTGCGGCTGATCCCCGTCAACGTGGTGGGACGCAGTCTGCTGCCCAGTGAGTCCTCCCCTCCCTTTCAGACGCTGCAGGCACTTCCCGCCGGCCCACCCTCCAACGTCACCGTTCGAACGGTGTCGGCGACGGCGCTGCGAGTTCGCTGGACGCCCCTGCCGCCCGAGTCCTGGCACGGTCACCCTCGCGGCTACAACATCACCTGGAGAGAGCTGGACGCAGAGGGCCAGCCCACTGCCGACTCGCCCCTGCGCAGCTACATCCTCGCCGACTACCACTCGCACTCCTATCTGATTACCTCGCTGAATGAGTTCACCAACTACCGCATTCAGGTGATGGCGCTGAACGACCTGGGCACCTCTAGCGGCAGCCACTCCATTGTGCAGCGTACCAACGAGGCGACGCCCAGTTCAGGGCCGAAGCTGGTGAAGGTGCGGGCGACTAGTTCGACGACGGTTGTGGTGGAGTGGGGCGCCATTCCGCCGGCCGACTGGAACGGCATCATCCAGGGCTTCAAAGTACGCTACAGCGCCATCAAGGCGGGAGCCGGCCTGGTAGAGGGCGCCCAGTTCAAGATCATCGAGAACAATGCCACACAGACGGCCACGCTGACGGAGTTGAAGAAGTACACCAAGTACCAGATCAGCGTGTGCGGCTTCACGCACGTCGGCGACGGCGTCTACAGTCAGGCGGTGACGGAGACGACCTTTCAGGACGTGCCCGGCCCACCCTCCAACGTTACCTTTCCCGATGTGACGTTGACCACTGCTCGCATCCGCTGGGACATTCCTGAGGAACCGAACGGGGAGATTCTCGCCTACAAGGTGGCCTACCGTCTCTCTGACGACCACGACCGACGGGGCATCATTCGAGAGTTCCTCTCCTCGGACCGCACTTATCGCTTCCTCGACCTCCGCCCGGAGACGTACTACGTCTTTGAGGTGACCGCCAAGACCAACGAGGGCTGGGGCAAGGCAGCCAAGGTGACGGTGTACACGACCAACACCCGAGAGCTGCCCTCGCCGCCCTCACAGCCGCTGATCAGCGTCTCGCAGATCAGCTCCCGCCAGGTGACGATCAGCTGGACGCCGGGCAGGGACGGTTTTGCGCCCCTTCGCTACTACACCGTACAGATCTCTTCCCAGGGCGGCCACTGGTGGACGTACCCCAGCAAGATTGATCCCACTTTGCGCTCCTACACGGTGACCGACCTGAAGCCCTTCACGACGTACCAGTTCCGACTGAAGGCCACCAATGACATTGGCGACTCGGGCTGGAGCTCAGAGTCGCCCATCACCCGGACGCTGCCCGCTCCGCCGGACACTGTCCCGCAGAATGTCATCGTCTCGCCGTACACGCCCACCTCGGTCATGGTCAAGTGGCACCTGATTGAGGACTGGAACGGCGACGAAATGGGTGCCGGCTATCGCATTCAGTACTGCCTCATCACGCAGCAGGGCGTCTCTACGTCCTGTCCCTCGTCGATTGTGCGGGGCAAGAATCGCACCAGCGTCACCATTGAGAACCTGGAGAGGGACCAGCACTATGAGATTAAGGTAGTGCCTTTTAATGGACAGGGCGACGGGCCATCCACCAAAGCGAAGGTCGTCTACGTTGGAGAAGGTGAGTGATTTCAAATGGACGTTTGGTTTCATGTATTTACAATTTTTCTTTTTAGCCGTGCCCACCGGTGAACCGCTAGACATTACCACTGAGGCCCTTTCCTCAACGGAGATACGAGTTTCCTGGCGACCGCCAGATTTAAACAAGCAGAACGGGCAAATCATGGGCTACAAAATCTTCTACTGGGTGCACAGTCCAGTGGTCACGGAGCCAGGTAGTGCTGGCANTTCCTGGCGACCGCCAGATTTAAACAAGCAGAACGGGCAAATCATGGGCTACAAAATCTTCTACTGGGTGCACAGTCCAGTGGTCACGGAGCCAGGTAGTGCAGGCAGTCCTGGTGGTGGTGGTGGAAAACGTGCTAAGGGAAGTCAAGGCACGACCACCTCTTCTACGACGACTACCACGACCAGTTCACCGGTGTCGCAGGCGACCCGTGAGCTAATGGAGATCGTGCCAGACACCTCGGAGTCCTTCATCCTCCTCGACCTGCTGAAGTGGACCAACTACAGCATTCAGATATCGGCTTTCAACCCTGCCGGTGATGGGCCCCGCTCAAAGGCGGTCATTGTCCAGACGAAGGAGGACTTGCCCGGAGAGGTGGGCCGGCTGACCTTTGACGAGATTACCATGTCGCAGGTGAAGGTGAGCTGGAAGCCGCCGGCGGAGCCCAGCGGCGTCCTCCTCGGCTACTACATCACCTACGAGACGCTGGTGGGCGACTTCAGCAAGCAGGTGAAGCAGAAGATCAATGACAATTACCTGGTGGTCAGTGGACTGCGAGAGCGGGTCACCTACACCTTTAAGGTGCGAGCGGAAAACAGCGTCGGCCTGGGACCGGAGAAGATTGGCAATGGTAAGTGATCACTGACTGATCATAATAGATCTGCTAAACACTAACAATTTGCGCATTTCAGTTACCACCGGCCCTCAGCCCACCTCTCCACCGCCGCCCTTTGAGGTGATCTCTATGCAGACGCTGACCTCTGTCAAGCTGAAGTGGAAGAACCCAGACTATCGCGAAAACGGCCTCATCGGGTACATCATCGAGGCAAACAATCTGAACAAGAAGAGCGCCCTCGAGTGGGCGCCCATTGCCTCGCTGCGAAATGGCCGCCAAGACCGCTTTGAGCTGAGCCTCGGGGTGCTCTCCCCCAGTTCGCAGTACACCTTCCGCATCATGGCCTTCAACGGAGCGGGCGTTTCAGAGCCCGCCTACCCAAACAAGATCTACGGCGGCTCGGCGGTGATCAGCACGCCCTCCAATCTGGAGCTGCGCGCCCGTATGCCCTACTACCGAGAGAGCTGGTTTGTCATCCTCTGCGCCTGCATGTCCGTCATCATCACCATCATGGTCATTGCCTTCCTCTGTGTGCGCAACAAAACGTACAAATACAAAAAGGAGGCCAGCAAGAACAGCAACGGCAGCCAGGACCGACTCAGTGAACTGGGCTTCGGACTGGACGACAACATCGACGTGCCCGGCAGCGGTGGCCCGAGCAGCTTCAGTCCGCTGGAGTTTGAGATGCGCTCTACCGGATCGGTGGGCGCCTCTATGACCATCGGCGTCGGCACCAGCTCACGAAACGACCGAACCCGGGCGACGCTTCAGAGAGGCAGAAACAACAACCACAACAACAACAACCCCAGCAGCAGCAGCAGTGGCGGCGGCGGAGGCCACCGTCACAGCACCGCAGGCCACAGTGGAATGATCAACACGGCGGCCATTGCTGCTCAGGCCAAAGCTCCACCTCGGCCTTGTCCCGGGTCTTTCTCGTACTCAGATGAGGACGAAGACGATGACGGCGACCTGAAGGCAGGCGGCGCCGGCGCCTTCTATGAGTCTTCCGGCAATGACAGCCTCACGGAGAAGCCCAGTGAGCTGAGCAGCACCGGACCGGACTCTGAGGACTCGGACGACCACGACGACCTGGTGGCGGCCAATCAGTTTGTGAACCACTACGCCAATGTCAATGACACACTGCGCAAGGGTGGCATCAGCTGGAAGCGACAGGCGCCAAGGATGATTGTGCCCACGAGCAGTCAGCACAGTCTGGTGACGGGGCACAACGTGGCCGGGCCGAGCAACAGCACCTACCGACCGCTGCCCTACCCGCCCACACTGCCCAGCACCTCCTCCAGTGGGCACAGCGGCCCACCGCCCCCACCGCCCCCGCTCTCGGGCAGTCACTACTCACTGACTGCGGCGGGCACCAGCAGTGGTCACCAGGCCGGTCCCAGCACCAGCAGTCATCAGCATCAGCATCAGCATCATCAGNCCGCCCCCACCGCCCCCGCTCTCGGGCAGTCACTACTCACTGACTGCGGCGGGCACCAGCAGTGGTCACCAGGCCGGTCCCAGCACCAGCAGTCATCAGCATCAGCATCATCAGACAGGACATCACCATCAGCACAGCCATCAGCATCAACAGCACCACCAACAACCGCCACCACCACCGCCACCTCAGCAGCATCAGCAGCTTCAGCAGCAGCTCAGCCTGCCCCAGCACCACCACTCATCTCACAAGTCGATTCTGACCTCAGCCTCGACGACGTCAATCAACAAGTCGGGCCACTTTCCCTCGAGACCGGCGCCACCGGCACCGCCTCAGCCGCCCAGCTACCGCTCGGCGATGAATGTCTCTGAGTCGGCAGAGAACAACCACAACCACAACAACTCCTCAGAAAACCCATCACCGCCCATCTCTGGCAGCCTCTCTGCCAGTCAGTTGAACGGTGGTCGAATCATTGTCAACAATATGGCCGGCAGTAGGGCCCCTCTGCCGGGATTCTCATCTTTCGTGTGATACCTCAACCTCATCATTGCCTCAATCCCCATTATAGCTGACGTGTACATAAACCAGGCGCTCTAACTTTACTCACACTTGCACAATGTACAGAACCGTTTTCTATTGCACTAGCTACCCCAACTTTTTGCCCATCTTTCCTACTCATTTGTACAGAATTTTGTAATTTGGATATGGAATTCATAGCTCACCAATCAACGAACGAGTTGAGTGCCTAATTTTGACCATTTTTTGTTGATTTCCCATTGTACATAAACTAGCAACACATACTCGTTGTGCCACAAATCACCGTCCCTGTTCTTACAATCACAGCAACTCAAACTCCACTAAACTGCCTCTCTGTTTTCAACAATAAAAAAATACAGAACTGACAAGTTCAAGTTTTAAGAGCAGGTTTGTTGGGATTCCTCTGTTGTTTAAACATGAAATCGTAATTTACAATTAAAGCGAAAGAGATAGCTAAACAAAGATTCATTTGAAAACAAAAACCGATTTTTATAAAGAAGATGGAATATGAATGTCGACAGATTTTTATTTATTGGGAAAACTTTTTTAGTCAATAAAAAACATAATTTTCTATGCGCAAAGCGTCGCTAACATTTTTGACAAGTTCCATTTGTCAAACATTAATCAGCGTCACACTTTCTGTCACATCTACATCTGAATCATTTTAAACTATCTTTCCCTTTTTCTACGTTGTAGCAAATGCCTCCTGATTACACTCTTCCGGTTATTAGACTGCGGCAACTGCATAACACCCCTGCCCATCACGACGATCACTCTCCTAATGACGGTCACCACGACGAGGATGGCAACACCGGTGGCAACAGTCCTGACCTGATGATTGGCCTGGGCGTCCTCTTTGACCTGATCATCGTCGGCATCGTCATAGCCGTGCTTTGCTACTACGGAGGCAACGAAGGTGGTGGCGGCGGTGGTAGCGTCGGCGGAAGTAAAGCGTCCAAGGGCGGCAGGAGCAGCAAAAAGAGCAAGAAGGTCAAATCCAGCAAAAAGTCATCGGGTGGAAAGTCGAAAAAGTGAAACAGCTTTCCGAAGAGTGGTCGATCTTGCAATAATCACCAGTTGCTGCGTTTACTACTTTTGTTGGCATTTTCTTCACAAATTTACTTTATTGATTATTCATCAATAAATTAGTCTAATTGACATTTGGGTAGTTTGCTGTAAGGCAGAATTGCAGAATAAGCAAAAGACGATTTGACTTTGTTTAGTTTCACCTTGCCATGTCGTCCACTTCAATTGAAAGTCCGCTTTTGCGGAAAATTGCCTTTCTCTACGGGAACACGGGCGTTCAATTGCATCCGTACTCGGTGCGCGCACCTTATTTCCCGGGTTGCTTCAGACTGGTCGTCAATTTGCTGATCAACAGTGCCATCTTTGTGAATATGCTCACTGGGGAGCAGTTCGACAGCGAGCGTCTCATTGCTCACCTAGACACGGCAAAGCCCTTCTTTAAGATCCTCTACAAGCTTTTTGTCAGTGGCTTTTTTCCTATCTCAACGGCCTTCACCATGATGCACTACTTTCTGTACGGACCGGCGATGATGGCCTGTCTTGACTCGCCCGTCCTCCGGCGACCTTTCGAAAACCGCAAAGTTGCCCGCCGCTACTTTTCCGCCCTCCTCCTCTTCAACTTTCTCATGTTTCTGGCGGTGAATACGAGCAACATAAACAACTACTTCAGAGGGCAGGCCCAGGCCTCCACCCTGAGAACACTGTACAACATCACCATGCTGTACCTGCTCTCCAGTATTCGCTACTTCCAGACGACACTGCTGCACTACTGCCTTCACGGGACGCACCTCCGACTGCTGCAGCTTAATGAGCAGCTGAAAGGCAGAGAAAAAGCCGATCTGAGTGGCTCCGTTCTCTGGCAGTTCGCCGCCCTGGCGCAGCTCAACCAGCAGCTGTACCACCTGATCTCCCTGCAGATGATCACCTTCTACTGTCTGTCGGCGCTGAATGTGCTCATCATCAGCTACATTGCCCTGCTCATCGCCGACATGTACATCATTCTGGTCTTTCCACTGAGCAACATTGCCTACATTCTCTACCTCATTGGTCTGAATCGGAAGGTGCAGGTGCAGGCGGCGTTGATCGTCTGCCAGCTAAAGCATCAGTGTACGCCATCAGGCAAACGTAGCTACAGCACTACTAGCCGAGCGATTCGCTACAGAGAACTGGAGATCTACCAGAGGTGCTTTCAACTGAAGGCTTTTGATCTGACCAAGCTGAATCGCAAGTTTATTTTGGCTACAGCGCTGCTGATACTCAATTACACCATTTTCATCTACCAGACGCAGTAGCGAAAGATGGGAGAATTTTTGAAATTTTCAAAAGCTATTTTCACACAGCAGCTAAATCGACAGTGGTGCATCGAAAACAAGCTGCAACAACAAAAATGATGCAAGTTTAAAGAAATAAACAAGTTTACCGGTTTTTTGTTTGCATCCGTACTTTTTTCCATCATGGCTGATGACGACGATAATATTGGCTTCAATATCACAGCACAAGATTGGGCCGCTGGGCTTAATCCACTTCGGTCGACTGGCAAGCGACAGAGCAAAAATCAGGCTATTTACGGTAAATTGAGAGCTTGAATTAATTAAATAAAGAAAACTAATTTTTCTTGTTGTTTTTCAGGTGTTTGGGCTGAAGACGATAGTGATGAAGATGATCGTAAGAAAGATAGGAAAAGAAAAGACTATTCATCTGCCCCCTTGAACTTTGTGAGTGGCGGCTTCAAAGATGAAGATCCAAAAGGTGAACCGAACGTTACAAAACCCAAAAGCGAACCAAAAAGTGCAAAAGCTTCGACCAGCAGCAAGCAGCGCACTGGATTTGCTGGATTCGGTGACTCTAGAAATAGTGGTAAGTCTGGAACTTATTTGGACAGCAAATATTTTACTCTCATTTACTCTTCAGCAATGAATCCAGGCAATTCGCAAAACTTTGGACAATGGGAAAAGTACACAAAAGGCATCGGTAGTAAACTGCTTCAAAAGATGGGCTATCAGCCTGGAAAAGGTCTTGGAAAGAACCAGCAAGGCATCACGGCTCCAATTGAAGCAAAGTTACGCCCCGGATCCGGTGCGATTGGAGCTTATGGCCCAGAGACCAAAGCACCGCCGTTGAATAGGCCTGAGAGCACCAAAGAAGGCGACGACGATGATGTAGCAAGTGACAATGATGATCAAGGATGGAAGAAGGGACACGAGAAAAAGGCAAAGGTGAAAAGGGTGAAAATTATCACCAAATCAACAGAAGACATCATCACTGAAAGTGTCCTTGATTCTTGGAACAACAAAACAGTCGATGAAGGGAGCCGTATGAAAATTATTGACATGACTGGACCTGAGAAACGCATCCTAAGCAGTCTTTCACATTTGCACACTTCACGAGCTAAAAAACCTAAAGATGACTATCATCCAACGCAATTGAATGCTCGCTTCGACGTTCCAGAACTAAAGGGAAATCTTGAGCGTCTAATTCGTTTAAATGAAAACATGAGAGTTAAAGGAAAACAGGATTATCAAAGAGATTTGAAACACTTGGATGATCTTGAAGATGAGAGAGAACGTTTGAAAAAGCTAGTTGAAGAAGAGGAGTGGCAGCTAAAGCAGTTGGAACTGTACGACACCTTTGTTCAAGAGCTGGAAGACAGGTCGAATGAAATTGAATGCGATGATAGTATGGACTCTTCGATAGAGGTGTTTGTTGACAAATTCGAGTCATTCTACACAGCTGAACTTAAAAAGACATTCAGTCGAATGCTCGGATTAGATGAACTGATCCTCTGCACGCTTGGACCACGACTGCGAAAAGAGCTGCTGTTTTGGAAGCCCTTTGGAAATGATGATCGCATCTTGAAGCTTTACCAGCGAGTGAAGGGCATCACGTGTCGCAGCAAAACATTTGACATTTTACTTTGGGAGTACTGGAATCCGGCAGTGGCCCGAGCACTGCAGCAATGGCCGTCAATGAAAAACTACGAACCGGTGATGGTGTTTGTCCGCAAGTGGCATACAGTCTTGCCGAAGTGGCTCTTCGAGTACATGATCGGCAGCCACCTGCTACCGCGAATCACCCGTGAGGTGGAAGAGTGGGAGCCCTCAAAAGACCCCATTCCCATTGATCAGTGGACTCTACCCTGGGGCGCTACGCTGCTCGACGTCGAAGTGAGCCACACGGATATTGACTTTCTCTTTGAGCCCATCTACGACATTATCCGCCACAAGCTGGCCAGAGCACTCGGCCCCTGGCAGCCCAGCGCCACCGACAACAGCGTCCTGCAGATGATGAAGTTGTGGAAGGACGTATTTACGCCGACTGCATTCCAGAACTTTATCGAGAGCAACATTGTGCGCAAGCTAGAGATGATGATGGGCACGGTGAGAGTGAACCCGCTCTGTCAGTCGCTGGTCGAGTGGGACTGGGTGATGTCCTGGCGGGAGATGATCACCACCAGTTCGCTGGTGAGCATCATTGAGAAGTGCTTCTTCCCCAACTGGCTCCTCACGCTGCACAACTGGCTCTGTCAGCCGATTGTCGACTTTAAGGAGGTGCAGAACTGGTACCGCGAGTGGAAGGACCGCCTCACTGCGCAGGGCGTCACCGACCACGAGACGATCAAGGAGCAGCTGAACAAGGCGCTGAGCATGATGCACCACCGAGTGGACGCCAACATTGGCCTGAAGCCCTTCCTCGAGTACCACAATCCTCGAGCGATTCCACCAGTTCAACAGCAGGTCCCACAACAACCACCTCCTCCACCACCACCTCTGCTTCATCCGGAGCCACCGCTGATGTACATGCACGCCCCTCCGATGATGCAGGCGCCGGTGTACCTTCAATCGGACTCGATCAACTTCCGACAGCTGGTGGAGATGAGGGCGAGTGAGTGTGGAGTGCTCTTCATGCCGGTGGCCAATCGCTTCCAGGAGGGAAAGCAGGTCTTTCAGTTTGGCCAGTACATGGTGTACATTGACAATCAGGTGCTCTTTATGCAGCGGTTTGTCGGTGGAAACCGAGTCTGGACGCCCATCATGCTCCAGGAGCTGATCAACCTGTGTCTGCAGTAGAGAGAGTTTAGTTGAGATCATTTGTAAATACACACATCACATGCATTCCATCCTTCATAAGAGAATAAAATCTGTTTAATGTTCTGTTGAAATATAAAAAAGTATGAATCAGTAGAGTTTTAATAAGAAAAAAAGGTATTTTGTGTAGGGTTTGAAACATATACAAGCAGTGCGTCACTGGTGGTGCTGGTGGGCGTTCAAAACAATGGGTGGTGTGCTGGTGGTCGGGTGAAGTGGCTGCAGACCCTAGCCTCTTCGCAGATTCTCCAGACGAGCCTGCAGGTCGGCGTCGGCATCGGCTGCCACTGGAATCTGCTGCTTGTTGGCCTGTGCTGTGGCGCCGATGGTGCTGTTGGCAGTGGGCAGCTCGCCCAGCTTCTGGTTCAGCTGTACGCCCAGCTCGTCGAGAATCTGGGTGACCACCACGTCGGACTCCTCTTCGTCCTCCTCGTCGCCAATCACGTCGTCAATGGCCTCGCTCATCATCTCCTCCTTCATGTCCATCATGTCGGACTGCCGCTCGAACTCGTGCATGATCTTCTGAATCTGAGGCAGATTCATCTGCCGGTTCATGTTCTGCAGGGCTCGTGTGACGCCGCGCATCGCCATCGCCATGGCGTTCTGCGATCGAAGTGTCTGCACCTTGAGCGACACTGCCTGAATGTTGGCCCGCATCAGGATGAACTTTTTCACGTAACGACGAGTCCGCACCAAGTCCTTTGCCATGATCTTCACGGCGTCCATTTGATTGTCTTTGGCCATCTTTTTGATGTCGGCAATGAGCTTCTTCTCCTGCGCCTCCATCTTGGCGCGCTCCCGATCCAGGTCCCTCATTGCCTTGTTGAGGGCTCGCTGGTTCTCGCGAAGCATCTGCTCGGGAGTCTTGCGCTTTCCGAAAAGCCACTCCATGGTTTCAGGTGATTGGTGGTGGTGAAAAAGAGTACAACACAACAAAAAATAGAGGATTTGCCCTGCCCACAGCACACTGATGCAAAAAGTAACCCGACAGGTGATGGAACGGCGACAGCACTGCTGTTGAATAAAGAGATTTGACAATCCGATGCAGGCAAAGACACTGAAGAGAAAACAAAACTGTTTCTCTACGCTCTTGCAACTTTTTTTTCTTTTCTTGTAAACACAAAACAGTGAGCGCATTCAGCGATGACGTAATCGTGAGTCACTGATGACGACAAGGAAAAATATCTTTTGCTGTTGCTATCAGCTGGCCGAGTGTGGCGTTGTGAGAGAGGGATGGACAAAAGGAGGGAGGGCAACACCTTATCAATTTGGGTTTGCAGGTAACCACAACTACTTCGCTGGTTGTCTGCTATGCCTAAAGTCACTTTGCTAATGAGTTCCAGTCAGATCATCGAGTTGTACGGCGGCGCAAATCACAGCAGCAATTGCTGTGAAGTGAGTCAACAACCAACGCCAAAGCCAACGCCAAAAGTGGCTGCTTTGCATCGCTAAGCGTCAGTTTATGGTGGCGAATCAGTGTGAAATCCAAAACACAGCTGATAAGTAAATCGCAGTGTGCTGTGGTGCCACTAAATCAACAGGCAGTTGAAAGTGGGTGACGCTGAAAATAGGTCCCTTTGGCAGCCGGAAAACCCGATCCGATGGATTATCTCATCGATCAGTTTTACTATTGTATCGATTATCTTGGAGACAGCATCTAGTGCCGACTTTATTTTGGGTATCTTTTTGCTCCTTCCTTTCAGGCTGTTCTTGGTGCAAATGTGCAGCTCGGACAACAACAACAATAACAAGTTTTTAGGTGACATGATGAAGTTGCGTTTCTTTTGGTTGTCCCATCTTATCTTGGGAAGGCACAAAACCGAACTGTCATCGGCCACTCATTAGCCGGACTGTCATCTGTCATCAGGCGCGAGTGACTCGATGGAATCACTCTCTTGTTTACACAAGCCACAGTATTGTTCAGAGTGCAGTCTCTGTCTAACATCAGCGCAGTACCAGTCATTGCCTTCTGCCTCTATCATCATGGGCAAAGTGATTAGCAACAGTGAAAGTGAGATGGCATTTAGTGCACTGGCTGACAGATGTGTTCGCAGAAGCAGCAGCATCAATGACACAAGTTCGTCTCGATGTCTGCGGCCAATCAGTCCACCGTCTGAAGCCCTCCTTTGAAGCGGTGTGGCGCCAGCGCGCACTGCCAGGCAGCAGCGTTCCGCAACTGAACGTGATATCGACGACAGATTCAAAGTTCAAACTGTACCACCGAGACGAAGAAGACGGCCACGGCCACGACCACTACCCCGACAACAGCAGCAGCCTTCAGATTGGTCGCCTGTGCAACAGGCAGACAGTCACATCTCACATCTCTCTCTCCCTTTCTGCCACTGTGAAATATGAACGCCGACGGCCAGTGACGCGGCTCGAAGCCTGCCACCGGGGAGAGATAGTGATAGAGAATAGTGAGTGGCAGCACTTTACTTTCGTACATCGTCTGTTCGGTAGAGGCAGCAGCAGCAGCAACGGCCACTGTCACTGAGCGAGCTCTTATACCTCGCCGCATTCACTGCTCGCATTCACGCCCTGCTCGTCGTCTCGCGCACATCCCCACCACCACCGAAGCACCGCTCTTCGTTTCAGTCTCTACCCGAAACACCACTTCGTTGCCTGGTTGTAGTTTCGGACGGATTTTCCTCTCTTTTCTCCCGTGCACCCTTCTCTTCTTTTCCCCGTCTCCAATTCCCGTAAGTGACTCAACTCCCGGTGTGTTCTATTTCTCGCTGACATCATCAATCAATCAATCAATCACCACCAGAATCGGAACCATCATGCGCGAATGCATCTCTATGCACGTTGGCCAAGCTGGCGTCCAGATCGGAAACGCCTGCTGGGAGCTGTACTGCCTGGAGCACAACATCAACTTCGGTATGTCATGACGTTCTCTTATTTCTCATATGAACATTTCAGCCACTACCAAAATTACTTTTATTTTAGATGGCACTTTGATGAAGAACGAGGCGGCCCAAGAAAAAAGTGATGATTCTTTCAGCACCTTCTTCAACGAGACGGGCACCGGGCGCTACGTGCCTCGCTCCATCTACATCGACCTGGAGCCGACGGTGGTGGACGAGGTGCGCAACGGGCCCTACTCCCGTCTCTTCCACCCTGAGCAGCTGATCACCGGGAAGGAGGACGCGGCGAACAACTACGCCCGCGGTCACTACACCGTCGGCAAGGAGCTCATCGATCCGGTGATCGACCGGGTGCGCAAGCTGGCCGACCAGTGCAGCGGTCTGCAGGGCTTTCTCATCTTCCACTCTTTTGGCGGCGGCACGGGCAGCGGCTTCACCAGCCTCCTCATGGAGCGCCTCTCGGTGGACTACGGGAAGAAGAGCAAGCTGGAGTTTGCCGTCTACCCGGCGCCTCAGGTGTCCACTGCCGTTGTCGAGCCGTACAACAGCATCCTCACGACGCACAACACGCTAGAGCACGCCGACTGCTCCTTCATGGTCGACAATGAGGCCATCTTTGACATCTGCCGCCGCAACCTCGACGTTGAGCGTCCCAGCTACAGCAACTTGAACCGCCTCATCAGCCAGGTTGTCTCCTCCATAACCGCTTCGCTGCGCTTTGACGGCGCTCTCAACGTGGACCTGACTGAGTTCCAGACCAATCTGGTCCCATATCCTCGCATTCACTTTCCACTGGTCACCTATGCGCCCATCATCAGTGCTGAGCGTGCCTACCACGAGCAGTTCAGCGTCTCTGAGATTACCGCCTCCTGCTTTGAGCCGCAAAACCAGATGGTCAAGTGCGACACTCGTCAGGGCAAGTATATGGCCTGCTGTCTTCTCTACCGGTAAGAGTGCCTTTTTTAATTATCATCTTTTTGAAAGTAACTTACGCTTTTGTTGCAGCGGTGACGTGGTACCCAAGGACGTTAACGTGGCCATCTCTGCCATAAAAAACAAGCGTACAGGTTTGTTCTTGTTGTTAACATGAACATTCTGTTCAATTAACCTTGATTATTTCCATTAGTGAGTTTTGTCGATTGGTGCCCGACCGGCTTCAAGATCGGTATCAATTACCGACCTCCACAAGGTAAGTCCAGTAGCTCAAAGCTGAATATTCTTTCGTTTCTAACATCTCCGATTTACCCTCTCCTCAGTCGTCCCCGGTGGAGATCTTTCCAAGGTGCAGCGTGCCGTCTGCCTTCTGTCGAACACTACCGCGATTTCAGGTAGGCATTAATTAAGTATTAATTACAGGTAAACCTTGTACCTGTAATTGAGTAATTACATGTACAGCGACCAAATGGCCAGTTGCATCTTTAGTGTAAACTCGTCATTGATGATGGCACCCTGACATCATTTAATCATCTTTTATTACTATAATTGAGAATTAATATTAACTGGTACCTTTTTCATCCACATCAGAGGCCTGGGCTCGCCTGAACCACAAGTTTGACCTTATGTACTCTAAGCGCTGCTTTGTCCACTGGTACGTCGGCGAGGGCATGGAAGAGGGCGAGTTTAGCGAGGCTCGCGAAGACCTGGCCGCCCTGGAGAAAGACTACGAGGAGGTGGCTACTGATTCGAACGAGCTGGATGCTGCCGATGATGAAGAATTTTAACTGCTTATCGGCCTGGCTACCATCATGCCAGAAGCATTTTAACTTTTTTCTAACACCTCTGCTTGCTTTTATTTATAAAAAGTGTACATGAATGTACTGCAGTCAATATGAAAAATGCAAATTGATTTTTTTTAAAAACACGCGATTGATTTAATTTTGAGTGGTGAATTGAATTGCCATAATCTGCACAGCCAGTTGTCCCCTTGCACTTCTGCTTTGACTGATTGTGATTCATGATCCTAACGCAAAGTGTCCACTCATCGCCTTCGTTTGAGTGTGCATCACCAGGTGGAGACCCGTTTTTCGCAAAGCGACGTTTTTTGCTTTCCCTTAAAAAGTGCCATCGCAGTGGTGGACCACTGGTGGTGCAGTTGTGGTGACAGCAGTGGCACTGTCTGAAACCGGTTCAACAAGCTGCTGCTGCTGCTATTCACATACTGTCTCGCGTGTTCTGCCGCCGTCTGCTCTTTGCTGATCACCCTTTTCTCCTCAGTGACTTCGAAGCAAGTTGTGGTCGCTGTGGCAAGTGAATGCAGGCAGTGGAGGATGCCTTCCCCCCCTCGATCTCTCTTGCACTCCCAACTCTCCCTCTCTGCCTTGATACATTGTAATCAGTGGCCAGTGCAGTGAGTGCGTGTGTGTGTGTTTGCTGTCTTCGAGCCAAAACAGACGAACAGCTGCTGACTGCAGATATTGCTGCTGTTTGGGGACGACACTGGTAGGTCGCCGAAAAGAGAGGGACCCCACGCCGCCACCGTCAGAGCCTTCCTCTTCCACTCTCTGCTACAATAGCAATAATCCGGCGAACCAGGCACCGGAACATCGCCGCAATTCTTCTCTTCTCTTTTTCAACCAAACTGTGTCTGTGTCTGCGTTTCGTCTGTTCCCTGACGCCCGCTCTGAAAAAGTGAGAATCCGCGTTCCCTTTCTCAGCCTCTTCTGTCCACCTCAAACTGCCAACTTTGGCTGATCGCTATATGGCGCGGTACTTCACACAGGGGCACATGTAGTCTCCTCGTTGTAGTGGTGGTTGTGCCCCCGGTGCTGTTGATGGTGTGTACATGTGCGTCCAACATCGACAACGACATCCTTCACTGGCTGCTGCTGCTGCTTGCAACACTGTCTTTCTCTTTCTTTGTCTCTGCAAATCACCAGCCTGAACAGCAGTTGCCCAATATCGGTGTCCGTGCGGGGCCAAACTCTGCTGCTGCTGCTGGTGAACTGGTGCTGTACAGCACTGGCACTCTTTGCTACAATCTAGCCAATTTCCGATCTCTCTGCAGAACACTTCGCCGGCACTACGACTACGACCACGACGACGTCGCTACCGCTACGGCTCCCGCCGCCGCCGCCGCCGACGCCGCTGCTGCTAAGCGCGAGGCCACTAACCGGTGGCTGGCCATTTTTTCTGGTGAGTGGAAATGCTGTTTTGTTTACCAATGCCACCGCTGCCAGGACCCCTTCTTGACACCTGCAAGGCTTCTGCTTTTGTTAGCCTGAACTACAGTTCAGTAGTCAGAGGCTTCAGCTGCAGACGTCAAGTTGTGCGTCAATTGATGCTGGCGCTGCTGTGTGACTATCATCGGCGCTCTTTAGAAAATGGGCTCGTTTCCATTTGTTTTCGGAGTCAACAGTACTGCCAGTGTTGAAACCGTACACTTTTACAGTTTTCTGTCTAGATAAAAAAAATTGTCATTTTACCCGTACTGTGAATAGGGGAGGAAAGTCAGTACTTTTACATACTTCTAAATATGAGCACCATCCCCCGCTGACACTCTTCAGCGTGTCGATTTCTTTTTGCCTCGTTTACANGTGTGACTGTCATCGGCGCTCTTTAGAAAATGGGCTCGTTTCCATTTGTTTTCGGAGTCAACAGTACTGCCAGTGTTGAAACCGTACACTTTTACAGTTTTCTGTCTAAATAAAAAAATTGTCATTTTACCCGTACTGTGAATAGGGGAGGAAAGTCAGTACTTTTACAGCTTCTAAATATGAGCACCATCCCCCGCTGACACTCTTCAGCGTGTCGATTTCTTTTTGCCTCGTTTACCATAGACGATTGCATAACCATTGCGTCGCATCTTCAGCATCTTAGAATAGAAAGGGACCACAAAGTGAACAATCGAGTCTGCCTGGCCTGGCGGACTGGACTGTCAGTAGCCTCAAGTGTCACGCTGATTGTTATTTGCCAGTGCCATCTTTGCCGTCCATTCTGCAAACAGACAGACAGATAGATTGAAAAGCATCTGCCCTGTGTCGGTGTCTATGTCTGTGCGGCTGCAGTGGGCACTCTCAGGAAGACAGACAGGGAGCACCGCCATTGTCCTGGAAGGCTGCTGTGCCACTTTCCTTTCTCCCGCTATCACTATCACTTTCTACGTTTCGTCTTCATTGTGAACTTGTCATTTTGCCTGAACTTGGAGTCTCAGTTTTCAGTTCATTCTATTTTTTATTCTGCTATTAGCTATTCTGCTTTCCAAATTTTATTATTATTCTAAAGTTTGTCAGGTTCAGCTGCTGCTCTAGAGAATTAATGTCACACTGCTGCAAGGCGGCACCAGTGACAACGGCAGCCAACTTTTTAAAAGATTCAGTCCTATTAAAAAAATTTTGTGAGTTTAGAGCTGAATCAGATGTACCAATGTCTTTTTGAGAACCAGGCATACGCCAACATTGTACTGTACTTCTGCACAGTGACCGTAATCAGTGCACTGCGTACTCGGTTACCACGATGGTCACTGATGAGTTTCACAGTTTTGTTGACAATGATGGTAGTCTAACAGCAGCACTTTGATGATTGTCAACAAAAGAGTAGTTGAATTACTATATTGTAGAAAATTGAATACATTGAAATTATATTCAAGTGCTGTGTTTCTGTTCAATGCTCGCAAAACATTACCGGAAAAGTCTGTGACGTTTTTTTCGGGTCGTCTGCACAAGAGAGTGAGCAAAAAGATTGTCACTGAGAGTGACTTAAATAAGCTCAACTCATTGCTAAGTACAAGAGAATGTGGGAAAGCAATCATGAGGACGACGACTAGTTCAGTCGACTAGTGTGGTGATCATCATTTGCCTGCACAGCCATTACCAGCACCAGCATACTTTTTCCCTGGTAACACCGGTTTTCACCAGTGGCCAACTCTCATTTGCACGTTTGTGTGCGGCCATGTTCAGTGCCATTCATCGAGTGGCACCGAGAGTTTTCTAGCGCATAAAATCGACCACTCAGCACTTCTGTAAGCCGTTAGTCAGTAATCAGTAAGCACTGCTGTTGCTGTCGTTGCTGCTGCATCACCTTCAACTGCAGGAGGAACACTGCTGGCAATGTTGTTGGCGCATCAACAACATTGCCATCAACTGCCACCATCATCATCAGCGCCATCAAAGGAAGCAGATGGCTGTTGCACTGGCCATTTAACACTGCCGTACTTTGTGCAAACTGAAACGAACAGAACTGCTAAGCTGGGCTGATGCAAACCTCCCCTGCTTGAGCTTTGAACAGTACAGTGAGAAGGAACTGCGATGACAAATTAGTGCTTCATCTCGATGGGCATCTCTCTTGTCTTCTTCAGTTGCTGTCATTCTCTTAGGCGCTGATTAGGCAGTGCAGTACTACTACTGCTTCACGTATCGACTCCTCCCTCTCGCCTCCACTGCTTCATACATTACTGTCAAAATGTAGCATTTTTACGATCAATTCTCTCTCTCTTTCTCTGCTCCTTGAGCGCAGACAGGGTTATTTTTTCACACACATACACATAAGCTCATACTTGCGCACTACCTGTTTGCACAACATTCTGGCGATCAGTTTTCCTCAACAGCAGTCTCTGCCTGATAAGCATCTCCGCAGTCAATGAAGAAAGGCAACTGCACAGCGGCTGCGTTTGTACCGTTGTACCTGTGCACAAGCGCCGTTCATCCTGATCGCCCAGACCTTTTTGCCAGTCTTGGTTGCCAGTAGCCCAACTGGTTTTACCAGAAAAAGCGCTTGCCTGCTCGGAGAGCGTTTGACTGTTGACAATCTCGTGTTATTATGGCGCAATATGAGTTTGTGAGTGGTATGTTTACCCAATACACAGATGCTGATCAAAGAGAGAAAAGGACTGTTGGGTGCTGCTCCTTAACCAAACGATTGAGGAGTTAGTCAGCCAGTTTATACTATCACAATCAGCGTCCAGGCAAACATTGTCTCTGGGAATGTCCACACACTGATACCCTCCTTTTCTCTGTTAGGATGAGAGCACAATCTTCACCTAAAGCACCGAAACTTGGTGCACTTTGGTGCACAAATGCAGCTGCTGTCCAGTCACTTCCTTCACTGGCAGGTTGCGCTTATCAGTACGATTATTTGTTGTTGGGGAATGAAAAGAGGACACAGACAGAGCAGGTACGTCATCGTACACCTTCTTCCCAGGTAGCATTAGCATTCACGAGCACTAGTCCAGCATGCATCAAGTGATCAGCATCGAGACTGCTTTGTCATTGCCACTTGTCATCACTTTTTCCCCTCCCTTTCCTCTCTCTCGTCTCACAGCCGACGTTCTCGTCGCGTGTGTTGGTTATTTTATGATTACTGTTAATTACACTATCACAGGCACCACTACCATCATCCCCACCACTACCACCACCGCCAGTACACTTGAGTTTCTACCAGTAAAAAAATATTGTGCGGTTGGCCAGTGGCCAGAACAGAACGGACAATTTGTGCCAGGCAATTGGCAAATTGATTTATTGACAGCTAGACTTCACACACTACAGCACTCGCTTCTCTCGAGACTCAACTGTGAATGGTGGTGAATGGCCTTCTTCTCGTAGGCTGTTTGCAGAGAATTATGAAGATATAATAGCTTTTTCAGCTTCGTTTGTTTCACAGCAGTCCATAAATTGCAGCGACTGCACTTTGTTTTTTGCAATAGAAAGGGGGTGCAAGAAAAACTTTTTTTCTGTTGTTCTTCTTATTTCAAGTTTTAGTGCTAGTGCACCAGTCAGTTTAAACAGGC